CATCCATGAATGCTGACTTTGTAACTCTGCCATAGTCTGACATAGAAAAAATATTACACGATCCAAGGGATGTTTGCAACCCGTAAATTAAACGTGATTTTTAATATACTGAATTTGCTCTATAATACATGTAAGATACAACATGTTTACAACCTCTTTACTTAAAAAAGCAAAATATTTGAAGAAACTGCTTGCTTTAGTTGGTATTAATCTGATTTTCATGCACACCCCTTAAGCTGTCTAAACTAGAATGATAAATGCTGGTTTGCAGCACTAGTATATTGTCAACTGTTTCAGGTTAAGCAAGTACCATTGATACAAATTTAGTATTTCTGGCAACTGTAAAGAAGGATGTATTTTCAATTACCTATTAACTTTATTCTGCACTAAAGCCGTGTGTGTTACTTAGTTTACCTTTTTCCCAGTTCACTTTTAACAATGATACTTATTTGGTAGACAGAAGTAGTCTCTGGGATAAGAATTTGTTGTAGAAGGTTTTATGTTCCTCTTATGCTTGTGGGCAGCTAACTTGCAATGTGGAAAGGAGACTAATTTAACAAGCAAGAGAGGAAAAAATAAGGAAAGAATTATGGCTGAACAGCAGGGGAAAAATCCTTGACATTGAGATCTATTAGTCTGGACTAAGCTCTCCAGGGAAGTGGTGGGGGTCCTTTCCATGGAGAATTTTGAATCTAATCTAGAGAAAGCAATGCCATATATTGCAGTGAAGGATCTTGTGGAGGAGGATGGATTACGTTTTTTAATTCTTTAATTTTTATGTACCAAGATGCGTTATCTGTGGTCTCTTCTTTACGGGTGCCCTTAAGATTGTTAAGGAAAAGGAAAGTAAAAGGTGGATTTTAGAAAGAGTAGATGGAAGTCAAAGCCTAGATGTGAAAGATATTTCTCATAATTCTTTGCCAACTGGGTGTGATTTCTTCTATTAGCAGCCCAATGCCGGGTGAGAAGAGAGTAAATCTGTTAATGGAATACGCTGAAAACCTGTGAAAATATTTTTCCCTCAGAAAAGGCTTTGGAAAAGAAACAAAATGCTTGGAAACAGGTGTTGCCCCTTTGATATTTTTAATGTGAAAGACTGAAAAAATAATCCCCTTCCACTTGCTTTTTGTACAAACAATCCATTTTTATCTGTTTTTAATGAACTTTTCTAAAACTATAGAAAGTCGTAAGGAATTAGGGGGAGGGGGAAGGCTTTTGAAATGAACTGCCAACGTACTATTGACATTTTGTTGAGCAGTCTTGCTAATCAGGCTGTTTTCTACCACCTGTCTTTCAGAAAGGTATCAGGACTAGAACCTACCTATGTTTCTGGATGCTTCTCCTCCCGGAGGTAGCCCACACCTGAAGAAGCCCCCTTCCATATGCATCAGGAATGACGGGGATTGCAGGGGTACGTGCTGGTTTTGGTGTCCGTATCAGTGTACGTGTGTGACCCTGGGCATGCATGGCAGTGGGGAAAGGGAGAGGGATGCTGGTAAGACAGGGCAGTACTGGGGACCGCTGGAGAGAATGGTCCAAATCCTTCAGTTCTGGCCTAGGAATTTTCAGGATTGACTTGGCCTTATCTCAGCAATGGTTTATAAGTTGCTATTTAAAGATTATAAAGAGCCTTGAGTTTGGTAAAGCTAATTGCCTCCCTTTATTGTAGGAATAAGTGGCTGTAGTGCCGTTCCCATGCTCTTCTGTGCAAATGCTTTCCCTTCTTCCCTGCGTTTCATTTGAAGGATGCTATGTTATGCCCTACCAACCAACCACTGATACGATGGCGATAGATTCTTGTCTTTGCTGTTTCAATGAATGCACAGTGCTCTCATAGTGAGGATGTAGCTGTGCTGGGAAATCTAGAGAGGTTTTGTACAAGCATATTTTCAAGTGCTTTAGGAAGCATTACTCAGTCTGCTTCAAATCAGTGTATAAAGGGAGCTAATGCCTCCATTAAAAATATTTTTAGCCCTGTCCTCTAGGTTCAGACTGCCTCAGTTTTGTCTGTCTTTATCCTCTGAAAGTCTGTGCTGAGGTACTGACTGCATGGGGCAGCACCCGCTAAGTTAATGGTAGAAGAGGCAAGCCACATGTTTTTGAGCAAGGATAACAATGATTCCTCTTCCGTGGAAAAGAACAAAGGCCATGGCCAACTTGACAATCTGAGCCCAAGCAGCCAGCCAGAAATCCCAAGGAGTGGCTTTCCTCCTTACTTTTTTGTCCCCTCTTAAAAATGTTGTGTTTTTTTTTTTTTTCCAAAAAGCGTTTTGATTGATAGCAATTAAATGCACCGATAATGCATTAGACAAGGGCTGCCATGATTACTATTTACAGATAAAAAAATGGGTGCAGAGAGATGAAGTGGCTTGTTTACCACTCCACAGTAAATCAGGAATAAGAAAGGCAGCACCGAGAATCCGTGTAGAGTCCCTGAATCTTTGTAGTCGTTTACTCCTGCGCATTGGAAGGAACACTGTACCCTGTCAGCACGGTAGCATTTAACCCTCGTTCTGTGCCAGTGTAAATGAGGCTGCAAGGTGGTAAGTGGTGGAGAGCAAGGCCTCTGATCTACAAGGGTGAGGGTGTTCAGATGGGGAGCAGATGATGACAAATAATAAAATTAAAGCAAAGGAAAGATTGAATTAAAACATCAAGAAAAACTCAGTAATGGTAAGATTAACTGCAGTATAACCTCCTACAGGAAGCAGCAAAGGCAGAGCATTTTAATCATTTAAAACAGGTCTAAACATAGTTTTGGGTAACATATTACAGCTGGTGCAGCTACTGAAGGCTTAGCCGTAGCCCTAATGGTCCTAGAATGTTGTAGGTTTCTAAGGAGGGTATTGAGTTAATGCATCAGCCGTCTGAGTCCACTCTACAGACTAATAGGCTAGGAGCGCTAACAAAGCAGATTGCTAGCTCATATGTTTAAGTCAGCATGTAGGTCTATTTATCTATCTATACATGTATGTGTCTGTATTTATATGTGTATGCGTGTATATGTGTATATAAATATTACATCAGGATAGATTATGACAGATGTTAAAAAAAAGTCATCCCTTTGCTGAATCAGCCTCAAACATGCTTTCAGTAGTTCTTTTAACTCTAATGTTGGTAGAATCACTGTTCAGAAACAGGACACTTGAAATGTTTCCTTATCATCTACAAGCTGTTGGGGGCTAGGTGCATCGCCTTTCGTGGGTGTGTATGGGGCCTGGAAGGGGCGTTTGTGCATGACTACAATAATTAGCCAAACAGTGTGTGACAAGTGAAAGGGTGGGTGACGTTGTTCCTCACTCTGCCCTTCGTGGATCACACCTGTTATGAAAAGGGGACTTGAGAAAGGCAGAATGGAAGAAAAAAGTTACTCTTCCTGGGAGGGGGGCGGGAAATCAGTTATGTTTCAGGACTGTGTATTTCCTTACAATAAATCATTCCTAGAAAGATCTCAGAAAGAGGTGCTAGGGCTGACCACAGCTTAGTTAGAAGTGTTAGCTTCTTGGCAGTACCACACAGTGTTACTTCAGTTTTTGGTTGACTAGAAGTGCGTGACTTTTCCCAAACTAAGTGTAGAACTGCAAAAAGAAAATGCTGTCTGTACCACCCTTTATCAAATGTTTTCCAAACTCCAGTACTGCTCCCCCTTCTCGAGTGGATGCATGCTGTAGGTCCTGTGCTGGCACTGGAGAACTAAAACTGCTAACCTAGTCTACCCCCAAAACCAGTGCAACCCAGAAGCCATTGATGAGACAACTGGAGCCCTAAGACTGTGAAAAAGCCAAATACCTCTCTGTCCATGCAAGATATTTGGCTCTGGGCTTAATTATTATCAAGTTTAGATCCAGACATTATTTGGCTACTATTTACAATGGTTGTATGTCCAGTGCTAGCAAAGAAATTTGTATATAGAAAACAAAAATAAAAAAGCATGGGTATACATTACAAGAAACCTCTGTTAGACTTATGAATGCTTGATGCAGTTGAGTTCAGTGCTTTCTCATTCTTTGCCATTTGTGTGTACAGTATTAAAAAAGAATCCTACCTTTTTTTTTTCCTTTTTAAAAATACAGAACTGGTAGTCTAGTCACACTCTTACAAGTAAGTGATAACAAAAATAGAAAGCAGATACCCATGTGGGACTAAAACTCTACTAAAGCCTGTCTTTTTTTTTTTTTTCCACAAATATGTTTTCACAGACAATAATTAGCAGACAAACACACTGTTTGCAATTGCACTGTATTGACTTAAAAGGCGGATACAAAATTGTCTAAATAAAGAATGCCATCCAGGGTGAAATAGTTGTGTGTGTGTGTGTGCGTGTGCACATATATGTGCTGACACATGCTTGTATTTTCCTACTGTGCACCCAATCATGGAAATATGCTCTGCTCTTTGTAATTCAGTGTTGCTCTGATGTGGTTCTGCTGCACACTCGCACGCACACACACAGAGGAATGGAAATAGGTTTCTGTGACAGGTGGCTTCTTTGTCTAAATCTTTTCCTATAAAAGAAAAAAAAATGTGAAATTTTGGTTGGTTTAAAGGTTCTGCTCCATGAAGAAAAAAAATTCACAAAATCCATTGTTTTTCACCTTTTCAGTCATTTCCTCATGAATAAATATTATCCATTAAAAACCTTTAAAAAGGTGCTGCGATACACAGTGTTATATTTCCGTTTTCTTTATTGACGCTCTTGTTGCCATGATGATTCTTTCCCTCCAGCCTCCGCAGGTGACTTTCACCCTGTACCATGGCACAACACGCTCTCCATGCAGGTTTTTCCTTTAACCAGCCTCTTCCTCCCTCTCCTAATCCTTCCTCAGTCCACAGCATGAATGCGAGTCTGAAGAAAGCTGCCTCGTTAGGTCTCCATTGCGAATTCAATGACAGAATGTCAGGTTGGTCCATCCAGGCACAATTTGCAGCAAGAAAGGAACATGGAGGTGTGGAGGGAGAGGGGCACTGGTCTTCCAGCCTCCTTCTGTGCATGAGACGTCTTACAAGGCAGAGACCTTGACTATGTTGCTTGTGGTGGTGGTGGAAATGTTCGTGGAGTGGCTGGGGCTGCTGGGCGGAGGCCTACTCTCGCCTTCTGGCGTGAGTGCCGGCGGCGTGGGGATGCTGATGATGGCTGTCGTTATCTGGGCAGTTTTGCAGTTCGGTCTCAGCCCATCATCTGATTTCATGTTGAGACTGGAACGACTAGAAAACAAATTTAGTGTTTGGCTTTTTTTTTTTTAAAAAAAAAACCAGACAGTAGAAAGGATGGGAATGGTAGTTGTCCTTAATTATCTTACTCCTCTGAACTAAGGGCACTGAAATATTCAGAAGACTCCACTTAAATGTTCCCCCCGGTTCCTGCAAGGCATCATTTATTTCTACCCAGATTACACCAAGCTTTTTTAATATTCCCCCTGGTTAGGATACAGCTTTTCACAGGGCAAATCATTCTATGTTTCCATTTCATTCTTGCATAATTCTAGTTTAATTAAGAGGACATTACATATACTGCCCTGTGTACTGTATCTTTTCAGAGCACAGGTAGTTCTTTCTGAGAAAGAGATGTTGTCTTCCTTGCATTTCAAATGCCTCTTTCAAATTCACTGTCCCTTGATCTTTTCTGTTTTTTCATCTCTCTGCAGTAGTTTCAAGGATCTGGCAGCTGGGAGCATTCTTATTAGATCTGCATCAATTGCATCCTATAATTAATTGCAGAGGGAAAATGATAGGTTGATTTCTGTGCATCTGCACAGCTACAGGAGTCTACTATTACCAGCCCAACACGTTCATTTTAAACACAAGGCCTGTCCTTTTAAAATGTAAAGCTCCCAGTTGGAAAGCTATTGCTGTTGTTATCTCGGAGTGACTCACCAAGAGGATGTTTCTTGATCGCTCAAGCATCCCAAGAACACGGCAGAACCCATTCTGCTCCCCGGTTGCCTCAGTCACAAGCTGAGAGTGGGGCAGTCTTAGGGACTGGGTGGTTCTGCCAGTGGTAACCAGTACACCCAGTTAGTTGCATTCCACATGAAAAACAACTTTAAAGCTTTTTTTCTCTCTCCATTCTTACACAGTTTGGTAAGCAAGTGAAATAACAAACAGTGTTGACGTTTAAAATATTCACTGATTTAGCACCCACTGAAATAGGCAGAATAGTTGACATTCCCCTGAATTACTGTTTCAGGTGCTGGTTTAAACTATTGTCATCTCAAAGCTGCAATAGCCGGAGACTTGTTTTGTGCTTATTCATCCATAATTCATTCTCTGAAATGCCCTTCTGACTGCACCCTGGCACAAAGTAATTGCTTGCTGCCCTAAAGGCAGCTTTGTTTCAGTTTCTAGATCCCTTCGATAGGAGTGGGGAGCAGAAGAATGGTAAGTTCAAAACCAGCCCGGTGCACAAGAAGCTTCATGGGCTGAGGGGGATTTAAAAAGTAATTTAATATTTGCAAGAAAGGTAAGGTGAAGAAATTATTTTTTCAGCAAGATAGGTGTAAAATGAAAATTTCAAAATTTTCTATTGAGACACTTCTTCACCTGTGTCACTAATGGCTTTTTAGGTGAGAGCTACTAAGACACCATTGTGAAATTCCTCCTTAATTTTTCCCAGGGATGCTTACAGTTGCGATTTAGACTTTTGGACAATGAAAATCAGTGAAGTGAGTGTCCCTGGTGGACCAAGTCAGTGTGTACAGCTCTCTAACAGCTTTTGCTGACAGACACTGATTTAACCAGTTGTCTTTGCCTGCTCCCAGTAAAGGCTTGGAAGTACTGGGCTATCTGGGAGGTGGGCTGTGAAGTGGTCCTGTGCCAGCTTTGGTGAGTGGCTCACAGCTGGGAACTGCTGGCTCCTGCCTGTGTGATTAGCACTTCATAGGCAGGTTTCAGCTGGAATTCATTCTTCTATGTCCAGTCTGGCCAGAGAAGAGCTGCACTAGAGTCTAGCTTTGATCTGGTTCTTCTGGAACAGCTAGGAGCCGCTTTCCTTGGGCTGTCATTAGAAGGAGGGGAAGAAAGATGCTCCCAGCACTAGCCGCCTCTCCCTGGCTGGAGAATAGGCCTGCAAGAACGTTCAGGTGGATAATCGACTTCAGAGGTTTGCATGCAGTAGTTAGCAGCAAGAGCCTACTTACTGTACCTTGTTGTAAGTGAGGGCTGCTCGCTGCACTGGATGTGGATGGTGCTGAGCTCCTGCATACTCCGGAGACGAGTGGCTGGCACACTGGAGAGGGGAAGGTGAGTGGTCTTCTTGTTCCGGCGAGAACAGCAGGAGGTGGTCAGTCCGTGGTGACTTGACAAGGAGGGGCTCCGAGAAGAAGGATAGTTTTGCATTGAGCTCTCCATGCAGTTCTGCTCGAACAGTTGCTCATCTATGAACTCGTGGTTCTGGCAGGGAAAAGAATAGTGCCATTACTCTCTGGTGACACCAACAGCTTTGGCCCAACAGCAGTTTGTTTTCAACGGTACCTTTTGCTAGGTTGGTGGGATGTGTCAGCCCCTTGCCTGTGTAAGATGCTCCCTGCCTCTGTGCCTGAAAATATTTGCACTAGGCAGATCTTTAGAAGAAATGACTCTGCCCTTCCACTCACTGCAACCAAGAGAAGATTTTGCTCTCCTCCATCAGTAAGGGAATAAGGGAAGCTGTTGCAGTGACAAAAGCATGATAGTCTATCAATGCTGCCTTGCTTATGTAGTCTGAGATGGTTAATATATTGTGTTTGAGTTTCCTTTCATTTTTGTCTGAATTCCAGAAGTGGCTTCAAAAAGTCTGTGATGCCACATGGTTATGAAACCCAAGAGAAGATTTAGCTCCTTTTTCTTTGTCCCTGGGGACAGGATTGTGTTGTATTTAGATGACCATCTTGACATATAGCTGAATTGCAGGATGTTGCTTGTATTGGCTATTGGGTGCAAAGCATACCTGCAGTTCATTGGGTGCTATTAGCTGAGTGGAAATAAACGTGGCAGGTGAGAGTGGGAAGTGTATAGGGGAAGGAAATTCAGAAAGCTGAATTTGTGAGGAGTTTTTGTGCTAAGGAACAAAGAAATCCTGAAAGAACGAACTCTGATGTGCGTGTATGAACACCCAAGTAGTTCTAGTGAACATACTTCATCCAGTCCCTGTCAGCATCAGAAAGGATGGGAAACAAAAGCAACCATGGTGAAGGCAGCCATCGGTTTTCATTGGAACAACTAATGACTCACAGGAAACAAGAGCACTGGATAGCCAAAAAGAGCCACGTGCACAAACTCCCAAGGACAAGACCAGGAACGAGAAAGGAAGCAAACACTCTCCAGACACTTCACAGAGACCATAGAGAAAACAGATTGAATTAAAAAGGAAATACCTTGATGGTGGAAGTTCGTACAGATAACAGGGGATCATCCACAAGATAGGACAATCCCTACGGGACAACATGCCAACAAAAGATAAAAACACAATTGATTGTCCATTCCGGCATTCAGAAGTTTAGTCCCAGCATTGCATCTATTGCCTCAGCATTCCAGCTGGCTCACTCAAGTTTGAATGGGCAACCGGACCTTCTCTTCACCAAACCTTGCCTGAATCAGACCCCTTTGTTCCTTCCTCTCACACTTAAGCTTTTTAATGTTATGTTCTTGGAAATAGAACAAAACTGGTAACAATTTTATTACTTTGAGCTTTTGAGAGCGGAAGGCAAAGGAAAACAGTTTCAGCTGCTGATTCACAAGTAACGAATTGGAATTGTATTGCCATTGCGTCACCAATGGGTATGGGTATTGATCATACTCTGTGGAAACACAGGAGAAAGGTTTGGGTTGAAGGACTGGATTCGATGCACTCAGCATTTGGAGAAAACGTGGCATGTGAATGTCCATACTCGATCTGGGAGTTGGAATGAGTGGAAAAAAACTCCTTTTGTTTGAACAAACTCCATCTGTTGTGTTAATATGACAAAGTAACCTCTGTTATGGCAGCTAGAAGTACTTTAGGGTCACTTTGTCATCTGACACACCAGATTTGTGAGCCATTCACAGCCATTCAATTGTAAGGCTGTATGCTAGCGACGACTGCAGATACTATGACAATAAATAATGTACTTTTAGAATCCTTCTGCCTAGTTTAAGGAAAGGTGAATTGCCCATTGAAACAAGTTTGCAAGCATGGTACATTCCTCATTCCATTCCTGCAACTTGGTTACAAAATGACTCTTCAGTATTTAAAAATTCTTCTACTATGATTTAAATTTTTGGGAGGAGAACTGTTGTGTAGTATTTTAATAGATTATGTGAACTATAGAATTTTCACATAAGCTGATTGAACTAATTTGATTGATAATTTCAGCCCAGAGTACAATCTTGCTACGTGATTTGATGCAACATCATGGTAATAACTGGCTGAAAAACGTGGGGGAAAACACATTCAATATTGTGCAGATTCTCCCTCTAGGTTTTAATAAAAATTCAAATTATCACTGTTATTGCCGTTCTTTGCTGAAAAAAGCAATGTTTGGAACATTTTCAACCACTGAGACTCACTGTCTGAGTAGGCTTGCATGCTGGAGGCAATCTAGCTTTGTTAGTGTGGTCGGCTAATACTTCCACAAATTAGGCTATGCTTTGGCCATGTTACTTCCAGCACCCTAACCAGCTCATTAGTAATGGAGCAACACGTGCAGCTCCCAGAGATGTCCACCGTCCCTGTGCAGAGGTCACAATTTCTATAAGCCTTTAGAAAGTCAGAGCCTTACAAGGGCAGAGCCTGGGGGCAGGGTTGTCAGCTTCTGTTTGCTTCAGCCAATTTGTTAAAGTTTCCAAATGAAAGTATTCTTGAGAAATATGGGTCATAGCGGTGAAGCTTTTAAGCATAAAGTTCTAAACTAAAGAGTCAGATTGTGAAATATCTGCTTGCTATGTAATACCCAAAATTGCTAGAAGTAAAGGCAAGATGAGTCTTAAAAAAATAAATTCAATAGTCATTGATACAGGAAGAATCAGTTCACTGTCCTTGGAATGGTGACCTTTATAGCTCATTGTGATAAACCAGCCGTACTCAGCAGGTCACTGTAATTAACCAGTCATCTTCCAGTGTATCGCTGAAGCCTAAGTGGTGTTACTCCAGCATAAGCCAAACTATGGAAGTGAAGGTGATTTATCTAACAGAAGGCTCTTGCAAGTCAGAAATCAAAAGTACATTTGATGATGGATGCAGATAGAAAAAGGCATGAATATTTCAAGTGTTAACCTCTCTTCATTCTTTCTAGAATGAATCATGGTATAGATAATGTGTTCCTTTACTGCAGAACCTTTTATATATACCTGGAAGTAAAAAATATATATCAAATATCTGAAATGTTCCAAGAGACTTCTGCATACAGAATCACTTAATAGTGAAAAATAAAATTCTCATTCCAACACCTTGCATGACGCAAACGGAAAAGTCATTGTTATAGAATCTGCTTGACTGGCTTTGAGATAAATTACCTGCTCTTGTAACCAGAACTGTAGTGAGAAAAGATATGTGCAACCTTTAAACCCATTAAGAGAGTTCGTCTGCTCTGTGCCATATAAAGGGCTAAAGGTTATTTTTTTCCAGTCCATTGGCACTGGTGACCAGGTTGTGGTTTGGAGTCACTGACAGCAGCTTCTTCCTCTTAAGACAGCAGAACTGTCCTTTATTACTAATTAGCACAAATGACGAGTATATGTGATGTGTGACTGACAACATAAGACAAATGCAGTTTAGTTCTCTTTCAGAAGCACTGAAGAAATTAAACTTAATGTACACCTTGTTTATAGGATCTCCCTAACCCCATGCTGAAAAGTTATTTGCGTTCAAGTGAACTTGACTGAGCAACCTGCTATTGACTTTGTACTGGTGTAGATGACTGTGGAGTAGCAGATAATCACATCTTTATCCCTTTGCACAGTAATTACTTTTTTTTTTTAAAGAAAACAATGAAGTAAAGTGCATTTATCCCATTGCAGAATATTCTTGGGAGCTTGAGTGTCAGCCCCCCTCTGGCATAGTTTGTAGGTCTGCTGAATATATCTAACTGAGTGCCACTTCAGAGCATCTGCGTGCACATCTTTTCCATATGAAGCCTGGGCCAGGGACAAAGACCTAGTAAGATGTAAAAGGATTGTGTTGCTACTTACGGTTGTTTTTTCCAGGCAGTGCAGCAGGTGGTGATGTTGGCTTTCAATTAAGGAGGTGCCTTTAGTCATATGCTGTTCATCTTCAGTGGATCCCTAAATAGCCAGAAAAAGGGGGGAGAGGGGGGAAACCAAAACCCAAACCAGGTGTAAAACCATGAAAACAAACAAAACTAGCAGCATTAGCTTTCACAGGGATAAAGATAATTTCAGTGTTGCCAGCTCTCACGTTTTTCTCATGACTCTTCTGAGGTTACCTCATTTTTTTTCTTAATGATTTGGCTAGTTAACTCAGGTGAGGACCTCAGCTTTGATTCAAAACCAGTGCGTTTCTAGTCATCTTGTAGCTGTGGAGGAAACCTGGGAAATACTGTTGGCGTATTCTGGCTCAGGAACCAGAAGGTAAAGAAGAAAAGAAGCTGTGCTGTTTTATTTTTCAAAAAAACATTAAGACTTTTAAGCTTGACATGACCTTTGAATGCCAACAGATGTACCCTAAACTCTAGTCTCTGTTAGGAGACAAACCACAAGCTGTCTTGCTTTTGCTGAGCTGAAAGCCTGGCTCTGCCTGACCTTCAGGGCTGCACAGAGCTGGGCCTGTTGGAACTTGCATGTGTTATTGCCAAAGCCTCCTGAGTCACGGCTGCATGCCAGATCAAAAAATGTGAATCCAGGCTTCGTGTCTTGGACTTTGTAATGCTGTTTCTAGAGACAGGACTCCAGGCTCTGTCTCTCCTCTTCATGGACATGACCAATTGTTGTCCGCACTTTGTACC